AACCAAATAATCACGAACCAAAACGGTATTTATGCCTTCCCTTTTCCTCGATTTTCTCCTTTTTCTCTCCTTCTTATAGGTTCTACATTTAATACAAAGTAAAACCCTACGTTGTGATGACCTGGATTTCAGACAACACTAGTTGAGGTAACTTTATGTGATTATATGTGAAATACGTGATGATACGCATGATTGAATTGAAAGTAACTACCCAAAATCATGTATATATGTGGATATGATAACTGTGCATACATGTGGAAATATCAAAATATGTGTGGGCGTGTATGTGATAATATGTTATGTGAAACTATTATTATAATATGTGAAACACAACCTTCATGGTTAAGGAAGGTTAAGTTTTAAAATAATAAACCCACCGCCCAAAAGAGTTTTATATTAAAAACTCTTCCACCRCCTTTGATTAAGATATATATATATATATATATATATATATATAAAGGATAAAAGATAAGATTTTATCTTATCTTACTTTTGGAAGAACTTTGAGTGAAAAGAGTGTGTGTGTGGCGGTGAAAAATTGTTCTTGAGAAATATATTTGCCTAAAAGCAATTTAAGAAATCTGTGTTTCTTTGAAGGAATTGTTGTGTGTTTGAATCTGTAATCTGTGCTTATATGGTGAGTTTTTGATGCTAAAACCTTTAAATATGTTATTTGAAATAATTGGTTTTGATGAATTGATTATGGAGGAAGAATGGTAGAAACTGTCTCTAACAGTTTTAAAATGAGATTTTATGAATCTGGTCTTGGAGACGGTTTTGGAAAATAAAGCAAAGTTTGCTTCATTAGAAACAGTTGTGAATAATATCCTATTTTGAGGATTTACAGGAGATTTTGAGTTTGAAAATGATATTGAAAGAACTGGTAGTTCTTGAGTTTCAAAGTTTTGTAAGATAAAACTGTTTTAAAGCCATTATTGGTTAGTAACTTTATGTGATTATATGTGAAATATGTGATGATACGCATGATTAAATTGAAAGTAAGTACACAAAATCATGTATACATGTGGAAATGATAACTGTGCATACATGTGGAAATATTAAAATATGTGTGGGCGTATATGTGATAATATGTTATGTGAAACTATTATTATAATATGTGAAAAACAACCTTCATGGTTAAGAAAGGTTAAGTTCTAAAATAATAAACCCACCGCCCAAAAGAGTTTTATATTAAAAACTCTTCCACCGCCTTTGATTAATATATATATATATATATATACTACCTTATAAAGCAAATTTGGAAAAAGTCTTAAAAACAATCTAAAATGCATAAGATACTATCTTTTAATGCAGAAAGTCTTAAAGTCTTAAAACGTACAACTTTTTTATGCATAAAGTTTTAAAAGACATGAAGGTTGATGTACAAGTTATTAATGCTAACCTTAGTGCTTAGATTTCCAATGCCAAATATATTCTTACGAGTGATCGGCCCAAGAATTGCTGCTCCCGACGCCGGCTCTAAGTTGCTCCCTATCATGAATTCATCTTCCCAAGATGGCCATTCAAGCTCCCCATGTGATGATTTCGTGATTCAACATCGGTTAGGTTTCTCTTCTATTTTTGCTTTCTTCTCCTGATTCGATTCCATCCCTCCTTTCATCCAGTTAGGACTCTTTTCTATGGGACAGTAAGTCTTCAAATACCTTACTTCTCTCTATCCTTGGCGAAAAGGGACGGTGAGTCTTCAAATCTTCAACGAAATCTTTATATATGTTGCTTCTTCAAATTGTGGCTTCTTACTTTTACTTATCAAAATCGAAATTGGTACTGAATCCAATCTCAACATCTCTCAAAGTCAACTGAAAACTCTCATATTTTTGCTGGGTTTCGATTCATTGAAGATAAGACAGAAATCAAGTAGCGTTTTTGTAATTTCTTGTTGAAGGTAAAACCATTTCGACTTTTGTTGATGAACAATCGTAATTGTGTTGCAATTGTAACTGGGTCGATGTCAAATATTCCTTTTTTCTAATTTTCAAATAGTTGTCAAGATTTCAATACTAGGGTTTCGATTCATTGATGATAAGAACATATTTTGATATTAGGTCTATTGGGTCGATTTTGGGTAATTTAATGGCATTTTTGCCTTCAGTCTCATTAAATTTATGGATATCAACACAAATGAAGAATGTATAAATGTAAGAAATCAACCATTTAGGTATTAAGTATCAGTCCTGTTTCAGCTATATGTATTCGGTTCAACAAATTTGTTATAATTTCATAGGTTGGAAAGTGAAATGTCCATATAAGAAAAATGATAAGTCCGTAAAATGATAGATCTAGGCCATGTTTGGCAACTCTTTGGGTAGCTTTCTTTGAGCTTATCTATATCTATACTATCTTATAAATCAGATTTGATAAATGTCTTAAAAACAATCTTCAATGCATAAGATACTACTTCTTTATGCATAAAGTCTTAAAAAGTCTTAAAAACAATAATTTATGCCTCATGTACAAGTTAACAGTGCTACATTTACACTCCTTTAAGAAAATTATCTTCCCATGACAGCTCTCATGGCTCCAAATATTCTCATAAAAGTTGGGTCTTTTGGAAGTGGCAATTTCTTATATATGGTGAATCCCTTTGGTAACCTTAATCCTGAATGTGGGGTTCTTCATCACCTAATAGCAGAGACAAAAGAAAATCCCCTCATCCTTAATCCAACCCCATTACTGTATGTATCCCTTTACTTCACTGCAGAAATTTAAACTTTTTTGAATGTGTTTTGACAAGTTTGTTGGTTCTTGATTGGTTGTAGAATGGTAAAAGAGAAGAAAGAAATAATGAAAAGAAACAGAAAATTGAAGCCAATTGAAGGGGGAATCAAATGGAAAAACAAGCAAAAGAGAATTCTATTAATAGTGGAGGAGGAGGTCCTACTAAAGACAACAACTACATTCATGTGAGAGCCAAAAGAGGTCAGACTACAAATAGTTACAGCCACGCAGAAACGGTATAAACAAGTCTTGTCCTTTTCCATTACAAACTTTTTAGAATGATCAAATTCATAGGTATTTGATTTCATCCATTCCATTTAGGTTCGGAAAGAGGATCAACGAGAGAATGAAACTGCTTCAAGAACTTGTTCCTGGCTGCAATAAGGTATTATTCTCTTTCAATTCTATTTTTTATGAGTCTGTTTGTCTGATCAGATGGATGTTGTACATAGATGCAGTTTATATCTCCACAGCAAACACAATATATTCATTAGAATTTCAAAAACAACAAACTAGAAAAGAAAGATAAACGAACCGAATAAAGGCCTTCATAATTTTTTTCAACTGATACATCAATCTTTGGATTCTTAATTCTCCTTTTGATAGAGCCGGATTTTGGTTAACAAAAACATCTCAATTTTACAAACAGATTTCCAATGGCGTTTGAAGTACAATGCATGATTTTGGTGATTTTTTAGTTAAGTTATTTTCACTGAAAATGGCTTCTACATTGATATTTCATTTCTATCTACTTAAAAGTTAAAAGATTCCTGAGGTGGACCTAAACCAAAACTACAAGATGATGATAGAGATCAGCCTAGAGGTGGACCTTTTGGACTTGAAGATCCTCATGCTCCCTACCATCCTTTAGGTAATTATGATTTCTATATAAGAAGTTTTACTATGATATATTGCTTTTTAAGCATGAATTGACTGTTTTACATGTTTAATTCTTGTTCTTCTTTTTCACCTCTTTCAACTATTTTCAAGTTGCAACAATTTCCATTCAAGATGGACCATCATCTTGATTGCATCATCGAGAGGAGTTGATGTTTGGCAAACTCTCGAGCTAAATTACCAAATTTCAATCATCACTATAATTCATTCATTGTATTGACTTATGTATACAATTTTCATTTAAACTTGAATAGACCCATTATCTCCTTGATATGTTATTTAAAAAGGTTAGCATGTCTCGGTCCCAAAACAATTACGATATGCAACTTTCACACTCATAATTAGGTTCTTGGTGGATCGATAAGCGCCAAATTTAATTTATTATTCTCACCTTTTATGATTTATTTATAGTCTGTTACTTTTGCGATCTTATGGTAATCTGAAAATGATGTTAACTCATCTTGCTTCCATGCCTCTTTCTCATGGTATTATATGATGTTAACTGGTGTTGTACTATTTTCAGGGTATTCTATAGAGTCTCTTGCAGGTTCATTCCTAGCATCAGTATGCAAGCGAAAACCAGGTTGAATACCATTAAAAGGACTCCTTTATTTCCTTGTGTAAATTGTGAACAGACGAATAAGGATGATCCTTCCTTCTTCTGAGAAACCATCTAAGGAGTCTTTTCAAAAAATATCTCTTGAGCAGACCCCTTTTTGATGAACTTTCAACTATTTTGCCATTTGTTGTTCTTTGGATGAGGGTTTTTGATTATGTTTAGCTTTATCTGTTACTTGTATAGCATATATAAATCAATTGGAGAAGAAATTGTGCATATGGCAATATGGGTTTATTCTGTATTACAATATTCAGGTATGGTGATGACAAACCCAATAACATGACCAATTTCGCTACTCCGGGCGCCTTGCTGCTGCAAAACAAGTGGAAGTCGAGCTATTCGACAACCATTGCCACCGTGAAAACCCATCATTTTTCGCCTCCCAAATCCTACCATGAGGTCTGAATTCATGTTAACTTCACATTTTCTGTCATATCTTCAATACCCTTATGCGTTTATCTAATTACACTTGTTGATCTATCTTTTCTGTAGTCTTTAGTGATCAAAATGCGTAATTATATCGTGCTTATAATCTATGTTCGCGGAAAAGGTTCTTGTTGCTGCAAGGAAAAGTTTACGCAAGAAATATCTTTTCGGTCCAAGGAAAAAGATATCCCTTGCTAAGGTGATCTTGTGTATCTTATCTAGTTTTTGAGTCAGTAAAGCACTAAACTTTATAAGACAAAGATCATGAATCCGACTTAGGGGTCGTTTACTAAATGTTTACCCGAGTAAGCGCTTACCATGTCACATCATCTCACACAATGAATATGGTAAGAACCAATAATCTTACCCGATAAGAACGAGACAAGAACCAAGAGCCTTACCCCGGTAAGTAAAGGCGATGACTCTTACCACGGTAAGTGCTTACCGGGTAAATTGTTACATGTGATGTCGTTTTGGTGGATTAAAATATTACCGGGTAGGTAAATTGTAGTGTTAAATCTCACCAGTAAACACTTACGGGTAACTATTTAGTAAACGGCCTCTTAATCTGTTTGAATCAAAGTTTTAGTAGGATTATGCCTGTTGTAGTATATGTATACGTTCCACATAAATCTTTGTGTTCTCTCTTAATTGCAACTATAGAGAAACTTCATTTAATGGTTGTTTTTCTTGACTTTCATTTAATTTTGTAGCGGCTTCATTGGAGACGTGCGTCAAGAACGAACGATGGATTGATGTTAACTTCTCCGCTCACGCCCATTCACAATGATAATGAGAAATGGAGCAAAACAGATGGTTCAAGCATGCCACTGTTCCGCCCTCAATATCTTAGGTAAAACATACCTCGCTTTTCATTTTAGCTGAAATGACGATAACCCGAAAAACTTGTGGTCTAAACGATTTAATTCCGTGTTCAGTTTTTGTATGGTAGGCTATCTATCACGGCATGGGAGAAACTGTTGATACTGCAGCCACATAACTGGGCTTTGAGGAGAGATCATGGCATGATGTTGTCCTATAGTAGGTATGCGATGCCATCTTTGCTTAGTTAGTCGAGCGTAATTCTAAACGCTCGAACCAAATTGAATCAAACCGATGGTTCTCGTACGATTTTGTCAAAGGGTTCGAATTTGCTTTGAAATATTAGATTAAATTGAATTTGGGTTAACCATGCGGTTCATTTGTCCATCATATATTCATAATTCTTATGTCGATGGCAGGGATTATGTGAAGGCTGTTCAAGAGCTAAGCATTTGCATGGCGTTTGTACCCAAAGAAGAGGCCGAAGTTCTGGAACCGTTTGTCGAAAAGTTGCATTTGTTGCAACTTGAGTCCTCGTGGACGTCTCAAGGACATAAAGGACGCTTGATGGTTTTGTAAAGACGTGCTTATTTGTTTGAACAAAATCCCTCTGTTCTGTTCGACCTGTTTGACTCGTAACTTACAAAATAACACTTCATTTCAACCTGTTTGACCTGTAAATTACAAAACGATATATTATTTTTAATATCTCAGTTTTTTTAAAATGGTAATGGTTTAGACCAAGTTTATCAACAATTTCACCAATCAGATTGTGAAAAAAAAAACAAAACATTTTCATGGATCAACTGCAATTTGGAACCATACTCTTATTTCATGGATCAACTTCAAAATCGTTTTATATTTTCGATTCCCGCTGCATTGCGCGGGTACATAACTAGTATATATATATAGATAAAAGATAATATTTTATCTTATCTTACTTTTGGAAGAACTTTGAGAGAAAAGAGTGTGTGTGTGGTGGTAAAAAAATTGTTCTTGAGAAAGATATTTTCCTAAATGCAATTTAAGGAATCTATGTTCCTTTGAAGGAATTGCTGTGTGTTTTAATCTGCAATCTGTGCTTATAAGGTGAGTTTTTGATGCTAAAACCATTAAATAATGTTATTTGAAATATGAGGTTTTGATGATTTGATTATGGAGGAAGAATGGTAGAAACTGTCTCTAACAGTTTAAAAATGAGTTTTTATGAATTGGTCTTGGAGACTGTTTTGGAAAATAAAGCAAATTTTGCTTCATTAGAAACAGTTGTGAATAATATCCTATTTTGAGGATTTATAGGAGATTTTGAGAAAAAAATGATATTGAAAGAACTGGTAGTTCTTGAGTTTCAAAGTTTTGGAAGATAAAACTGTTTTAAAGCCATTATTGGTTAAAAACTAGAAAAGATATTCCTTCAAGACGGTTGTGACTTCGGTCTGTCTTCGTTTGGAATTAATCTATAGATTTTGGTGAATAAAACTATGAAGGTTGTTCCATCAAGACGGTTGTGACTTCAGTCTGTCTTAATTTGGAACTAATCCATAGATTTTGAAGAGGAAATAAGGGTGACATATCAAGGAGAGGTATACCATGGGATAAGTGTGGCAAATCAAGGAGAGGTGTACCTTTAGATATAAGGGTGACATTTGTATGCGTAAATATTATAGCTCTTGCTTTTATGTCTCTTAAGATTGCAATAGATTTGAGTTCTTACTTCTTTGTGATTTGAGGACTCAGAGATGTTGTTCTTATTAGAAATGTTAGTATTGATATTATTGAGAAGAGGAAAACTTGTCCTACGGCCAATGGTTTTGGATAAATTATGCTTTTGAAAAAAAGTGTTGATTTATGAGGAACCAGAGAGGCTCTGATTGTTCCTTGAAAGGAACCAAATGGGCTCTGGTTGGTCCTGATAATAGAACCAGAGGGTTCTGGATGATGATTCGATATTGATACAAATCTTTTTGCTAAAGCTTTCATTTAAACCAGAGGCTCTGTATCTATTAGATAGGAGCTCTGTGTCAAAGTTATGTTTTAAAAGATGTCCAAAAGATTTTATACTTCTTTTAACTTAGAAACTTTTATACAAAGAAGGACAAACCAGAGGGGCTCTGTAACATCTCACTTAAGAAACCCAAGTTACCAATTTTATAAAATCTCCAATAAAATAAAATTAATTGATTAACCTCAAAATATGAGATATTAATTTTCTAGAAAAAAAAGCTTCGAAATATCCGTTCTATTTTAGTGATAAAATCACCCAAAACACAATTCCAAACCGGACATAACGGATTTTTACTTACATCCCGAATTAAATAGCAAAAAGAATACGAGACATACTTATAACAAGAACAAGACTATGTACAAGCTACACTTACTACATCTATGAGATACTGTAATAAGCTACTATTTACCAAAAGCAAGTTCGTAAACTTCAAGTCCCCCGATAGATCTTCAAGTCAAACAACGAGTTCTTTCTTTTTATTCGTCTTCTTTCCGAAGAGGGGTTGACACTTAAATGGTAAGCCAACGCTTAGTGAGTTAGATAGTTAAGTATTACATATCAATATCGCACATGTTTATAAACATACATAATAAACTCTTATCAATAAAAGAGTTTAAGACATCATCTAAATGCAAACCGAGACTTACAAGAAACCGAGTAAACAATTACGTACAGGATACTAAGATCATAGAATTCCATATTCAAATCACTATAATATACCACCATTGATGCTCAATACAACAAGGAAACAGGATCAATAACCAAATATATTCAACAACGTTAGAATACCAATAAATATCAAGAACCAAGAGATTGAATCGGTAAACATAACAAGGACAGTGCATCACCCCGTCCTWCACCTTCCGGGCTCATGCCAAAGTCCGAGTCAGAATCGTACATTACCGGAAACCTCGCACTGCCCGCCTTCCTCTACTTGGTATGTGCCAAGGTTCCCTACTCATTGCTCTTCCTCCTTTTCGAGCAATGAGTATTCACAACCGCAGAAAGTCTCACCCGTCCAACCCGGGATCTTGACTTCGCCATAAACTTCCGGCATGCCACACGAAGTAGTACCCGTACTATGACGTATAATTCAAGGAACAAAACAACGATTCCGGATCCGGAAAGCAAACCGATGTAACGAGATAATAATATGGAATAGACTCAAGAGACGGAATCAAAGAAAAGTCAAGATCGTGTGACTAAATTCAAGACCAAAAACATTCATATGAAAATATATATATTCAAAACAATATGTAACAATTAACTATATAACTCATCGAGCAATCGTATAATACCGAAAAGCTCCGAAATGAGCTCACAAAGCAAGTCCAAGCTACCACGCCTAGAATGCTTCCAAAGCATCAAAATATGTCCTAATTACCCCCTGGAGTGAATGTACAAAATCTCATAAGCAACCAATATAAGAAACTCATATTATACACATATCTTATTTGAACACTTTACCTAGATTTCTATGTACAACTGCTGCTTGCAGAACTGTTTTGTCCATTTTAAACTCGAATTTATGACTTGAATGTAAAACAAAAAATAAACTAAACTCAATTATCTAACTAAGGAAATTGGCCTCACCTCATTTGGATTTTTCTATGATTTTATACAGTTTTTCAAAGTCTGCACATTTTCAGTGCATTCTTAAGTCGAAATTCTCATTTTCATACATTTTTTTCAAACCATTTCGATTCCAAATTATTCCAACTTCTGAATTTCAACTTAATATAACATATTGACATAAACAACTAAAATCCAACCTTTATTTTATCATTTATATTCTCTCCCAAATCATTGACTTGATCAMGTCAAAGTTCATATGATGAACTTGCATAAATCTTGATAATCTTTTGAATCTAATGATCATTTCATGCCATAAATACTAAAATGCACTCATTTTATACACTTACGATCAAACCCATATGAAATCCTAACTCTTTCTCAACATGCAATCCATATAACAAGAATGTCAACCAAGAACAAGTGCAAAGATGGATTATACCTTATTTGATGATCAAATCCTTCAAAGATCTTGTAATGCCTATTTGATTTGAGTTGAATCGAGCCTATGTGTGTGAAAATCGCACCTCTAGTATGTGTGTGAAAATCGCACCTCTAGTTGGGTCAGGTTGACCCGGCTAGATACCCATTTTGACTATCAACACTTAAAATATTCATAACTTTTCGCTCGGACCTCCATTTTCTATGAGGTTTTTCTCTACATGTTTATAAAGAGATAATCTATAGCATCTAACAAAAATATTCCAGAAAATATCTCCCAAAAAAATCAGTTTTACGTATCTATTTGACGTGAAAATTTCCCAAATCCTCTAATATATTCCTAAGAAGTATAATTCTAAAATTTCAAACCCAAACTCCCACTAAATCATAGGTTCTCTTATAAGGACATTACTAAAATACTAAGTAAAATTTTCCACTTTGACATAACATGCATCACAACTTCTCACATAATATTCTCTTTAACATAATATTTAAACATACTTAGCAAATAATTTGGACATATTAGAAATTGGATGTTAGAGGCTCTTGTTGGTCTCCACATTGGACCAGAGAGGCCTCTGGTTGGGCAAGAGTTTTTGGGCCAGAATCTCTGGTTAGTAGAACCAGAAGCTCTGGTCATACTTAAGTCTTTTATTATATACTTTTATACTTGAGAAAACTATTTTAACCACCTTTTAGTGTATGACTACGTATATTTATGAGAATGTATTTGAGTAAGAGCTCTGGTTGGTAGAGCTTATGCTCTGCTATCCAGAGGAGCTTTAGTCCTGCTATCTTATGAAAATATTTTCTAAGTCTGGTCCTTGGAACCAGAGGACCAATGGACTAAAACAGATTATGAATTCATGTTCCATTACGCGAAATGATTGATTTAAATAATGTTTTGGTGATTTTCATCCTGCAATTACATGGAAAAAGGGATCTCATTAGACCTCCAGGTCTAACCCTCACATTTGTGTTTCAAATATGTATTGCAGAACTGTAGAGTATAATGATAGTAAAGGAAAGAGAAAAATATGATTTGTTTCCCTATATGCATAGCTATGTGAAGATAAATATGTGGATGTGTTTAGAGGATAAATGTTATGTAGTACAAGGACATGTATTTTGGAATTTTTGGGTTGTGTAGTTTGTAATGTAGTCTCTTGTACTTTGGACCTTTGTGGGGTAAACATGTATTTCTCTGAATGAATTATATGTTATATGAAATGTGAGTCGGTCATGGTTGATAGAATGTTTCTGGTTTTTTAGGGTTTCCATATATATATAATGGTAGATCTACTATTACATTTTCCCCTCTTCTCCATCTCCCAATCTGAAACTTCTTTCTTGGTGGAAGATGAATAAAATGTTCAACTACATGTTAAAACATTATAAGAGTAAGTGTAGGATAATGCAAACAAATTCATTGAGACATTTAACCAAATACACTAAAATCATGGTGATCATGTTTTCTAAGATTGTATTTAAGCATCATATAAGTGAATACTATTACTAAAATGATGTAAAGAATAAGATGCAATGCATGAGGGCCTCATCATTTTGGAGCCTGCTGTAGGATTTAACACTCATTTCGGAGCCTTGTTGCTGTCAGGTACATGAGGCTGCCCACAATCTGCTTGAAAATAATAGATTCAACCTTTTTAACCCCCTCATTCTTCCGTAGTTTGTTGTCAGGTTCAATGG